CCTAAAACCTAAACCTAAATTGATATTCTTGCTTTATTTATTAGAAGTCTAAGTTTATTGACTGGTGTGTGCTTAAAAGGTTTAAAAAACTAACAATCTTTGTGTACAATATCCAATCATTCCTCATTGTCACTGTTGTCGGTGTTTGCACAGTACCATTACTTCTGGTCAGCGTGACACGACCAATCACTTATACTCACACATCCCTTATTATCACTCAACCCCTCTGCTGCGGTAGGCGTTTGTGCGTGTTTACTGAAACCCCGAGGCGACACTTAACTGAAACACTGAACTCAGCAGAATTGAAAAAGCCTCTTGATCTCATTACCAGACACTCTTAGTTCGGCACTTTTTCCACTAGGAGGACCAAATGGGGCCAAAAAACACAACGGGCGACAAAAGCTGCTGCATCTAATCAGCTTTATGACGAGGAGGGAGGCAAAGGTGGTAATCTAAACACACCCCTCCTCCTCCTAACCTTCAGTAATTGCGACAAACACCAACTCAAACAGAAAGGTGTTCAGGAGTTTTATGTGTCATTGTGTGTGTGTTTCCCCTTGTAATTGTGTTTGCTAGAGTTAGTATAAATTGAGGCTGAAGGTCACTAGTCCTTCAACACCTGTCAGCTTCAACAACAAACTGCGGCCATTAGGTACAACACACACACACCCACACACACACACACACATGGGCAGAGCCAAGGTGATGGTACAGCTGAAAAATAAACCTTTCAGTACAGTTTACAGCTCATCACGTTTCAGTCTGCAGCTTTAACTCTTTTAGGAGTTTCAATCTTTTCCCTCAGCGACCTAAAAGAAAACACACACACCCTCCATAAGTATCATACACTACACACATACACACAAATCAGCAGGTCTACATAGGAAAGGAAGTGCCTCTGGCCAAGAAACAAATTGGCTCACTGGTAAGTCAGCTTTGAATTTGATTAGCTCACAATATGCAGCAGATTCCCCCCGTAGTTTCAATCCTCCTTCTTTTTCAATACGTGCATGTTTACAGAAAATGACTTGCAGCTACGTATTAGATGTGCTGTGAAAGACACAAATGATAGGCACACACAACACTGCACACTAGACCCTTGCACATTGTTTTACAACCAATACTAAACCAGAACCAAACAGACACACACCAAAAGAATCTTGAAAGCTTTAAGTGTTGCTGACCAGCATCTTCATCAGTGGTCTTCAATTAAAATTCACAGAGGTTGCCTACAGAACTTTTTTCTCTAGGAAAAATCCAGACTTCGTTTGAGACCAAGTGTTGAATTTGCTCCATGTTGAACTTTTAACCGAGTGGCTCTCAGGTTTTTGTCCAAGGGGTCAACTTTATGCTGGCTGTAAAGGTGATCATAAATGTCAAAACTTTTAAAATCTCTTTGCAGAGCCCATGTGGCCATTTACTTTCACTCTAATGTGTTTGTGTTTACAAGTGGAATGAATTTATAATAATTATGTTATAGGACAGTGAATATTTTAGCAAAACCCTGCATTAATTTTTATCATTATTCATAAAACATTTGCAGTTTTAAGCTTTGCCTTAGCTCACTGGTTGCAAAGTGCCTATTTTGAAAAAAAAAAAAAAAAATTATAAATTAACACAAAAGTTAATTTTCTGCCTATTGACCAGATAATTAAGTAGCTGCTCATATCGGTGCTATAAATGTGACCAACCATCATAAAGACTCTTCATCCTTAAACATCCAATAATGCAATGGTTCTGATCAGCGCTGTATTTTCTTTAATATCAGATTAGGCCTAATGTATTGTACAGTATTTTATGTTTGTTCTGTTCAAACTAATCTTTGTAAGATTCAGGAAGATGTCAAACATTGAAATTAAGAGATGTTACGACAACCAAATCCAGCTAATTCCTTCACAAATGTTTATGATTGATCCCGGTTTTTGCCTTACTGGAGACAAACAACCCCCGACTCAAAGCCACTTAAGAGTGTTGAGACAAACAGCAGTCTTAGCTCAAATGGCCCCTTAAACCCTCTTTAACTGGTGGGATTAACTAAAACCTCAATCTAATCCCTGCTGAGTCAGCATTCAGAGTGTAAGCATGAGGTATCTGCTTTGGATTAAACATGTTTAAAAATCTATCACTTACCTTCAAACAAACAGTACTTTGAGATGTAATTTCTGTATTTTGCTAAAATTCATAAAGGTGGCGGCTGGTCAATAGAAGGCGTTAGGCGACGCTCCACCACTCACCATATTACCTTGAAGACTTAAAAATAAAAAACTAAATTGAAACAATAAAATAAAAATATTTCAAAGTATATGTATATGTTTTTTAATTGTGTAAGATACATATTTTATTGTTAATGATGAGTAAAGTTGTTTTTTTCAAAAATGTTGTCTCTGATTGACGACATATTTCTGCCTTGGGAGCGCAAGTATCTTTGTCCATAGACTCTCATTAAAAGTTGTACATGTGCACTAGCTCCTCTTCAATACAAAAAAATAGGACCATTCTGGGCGCTACTCTCCTGCGCCCAGAATACAGGCGCACAGTACAGATTGTGCTTCCGGTCCCGGTGTCAGCAGAACAGATTTTTATTTTTTCTTGTCCCGGAACAGATTGTGCAGTGACACAAAGCTATGCTTCAGGTAGGCTTTACGCCATTAAAAGTCCTTTATCTAATGCCTATGTTGCCATTTGCCAGTTGCCAGACATCGGCAGCAGTTTCGGCCATGCCAAAGCTTCCGAGTCAGTGTGAAGGTGTGGTCCGTGCTGTAGGAACTCTAAATCAACTGGTTTACGAGCTAAACCATGAGGTGGAGGCGATTTATGAGAATCACAGGCCACTTGCGGCTTCTGGGACTCGTCAGCGTGGTGGGTTCGACCTTGAGGGAGACTCATATCATGGATCAGTGGAATGGAATCCACAATTAGGCTATTTTGAAACCAGAACGTCCAGATGGACTCAAGGCTGAAGAAAAAAATATGTCTGCCTGAAGAAAAACAACAATCAAGATTATCTGAATCTGACTCCCGACGGCCTTGGAATGGGTCGACAATCAAATTTCTCCTGGGTTATGGGTAACCAAGGACAAAAGCTTCATCTTTCTTCTAAGCATTTACTAAGCATTTCTAAGCATTAATAAATCATGCCTGGAAGGGATAATTATCCACAAGACAATCAACAAATCAATCAATAACATGACAGTGGAGTAATTCAAGCAATGTGATTTAGACTAACTATCTTGGTTTGATTGTATTCTAGACTTAAATGAGTATATTTTGCTATTTGCCCAACTCACATATTGCATTTGCCTAAAACTAACCAGTAAGTAAAATAAATATATAATTAAAATGGGGGGGAGGGGTGGGATCAGTGTTTTGTAATGAACAGTTGAAATTGTTATTCATAACGGCACCACCTGGCTATTTTAAACAAAAACAGATGTCGGCTGACGCTGAAATCTAATTACCGGGCAAACTCGGAAAAGTTTGGAGAAATGTGACAGTTGGAGGCGAGTGATGTGAAGTCTGAGGATCTCCTGAGGGAATCTGAGTAAATCTGGTGTAAGAATATAAAGCAGAGTGTGAATAAGTCACATTGTAAGAATATATAAACGCAGTCGACAAGTAAAATATAAATGTTAAAAAGAAGAGAAAAGGGCGTCACTTTGCTTTTCTTCTCCCGTGGTGTGAGTGAAGCAAATCTCAGAGGCTTCTCACCAGTGCCAGCAACGGTTGGAAAAAATAAAATAAAACAAATAAAAATGAAAAAAAAAAGGGCAAAGAAATAAGTTTTTTTTGGTTTTTGTTTTCAGATATTTTGGTCCCTTTTCCCTCCTGCTGCTTATTGATTCAGAACCGAGGAGGAAGAGGATTGAGGGACAAACACAAACAGACAAACATCAAAACTGTCGACCTCAATGGAGCAGCAGCGCTCGCTAACGAGCTGCGACACTTCGAGAAGAGGAGGAAGAGAGAGGAGACGCAGAAAACAAGGAAAGGAGGCAGGAAATGGCAATTTTTTATTTACCAAAATTTAAAGCAAAAATAAACTACCCAAGAAAACACAACTACTGCATCTTAAATCAAAGCTCATTAACTGTATTTTCATTCTGAGATGCACTTAATTCAATTTCTCGAGCCTAACAGGCCTCTTTTAACTCGACCTTTGACCTCTCACTTCATTAAAGAAGCAGCTGAATAAAACAGATCTGGCATTGTTTGGTTTCACATTAAGCAAAACAACATTCATTCATTCAACCTTTATTTAAACTGATAAGTCACATTGAGCCTCAAAGACTCATTTACAAGTGAGACCGGTTTGGACAGACAATAAAAGTGATAAACTGGACACATGTAGGAATTGGAGGCGAAAAAAATAAAATAATATATATATACATATACACACACACACACATGTATATATACATGCATGCACACATATATATAATTTTAATATAATTGTAATTTTTTTATGACTCTTGAAAATGAGTCCTCGTGACTCAGTGAGACTTACTGTATAAATTAATATTAAATAAATTAATAAATAAATACTTTTGGCTTTACATGTCAGTTGTTTAGTAGACACAACCCCCCCTCCCCCCCACACACACACACACACACACACACGCACAGACAATGCATGTGTTTTGTTCATTCACATACTGTGGGTCAGTTGATGGACATGTTTAATGGCTGTAGTCAATCAGTTCTAATTTAATGTAAAGCAAAATGATGTTTTGAAAAGTAAAATTGAAAAAAGTTATAAAGAGAAGAAAAAGTAAACATCAGAACTAAAAGTGACTAAAAAGGCACAACTTTGGAACAAAACAGAGAAGAAAATGGAGAGTGAAGAATCTCAAGAAAACAAACACTTCAATAAATTTTACAAGAAAAATCTTGACATCAACTGCTTCTTAGTGAACTGAAATATTTTAGTTCAGTGAAACTGACTTCAGTTTACCACCTTCACCAGCAACAGAAAATAACAATCAGAGTGAATTTTGGCTGACCTTCGTCTTCATCGTTGGCCGTGACGGTGATGAGGACGAAGCCGACCTCCTTGTCTTCCTCCACGCTCACTTCATACACCGACTGGGCGAAAGCTGGGCCGTTGTCGTTCACGTCAGCGACAAAGATCCTGACATAGGCTGTGTCTGAGCCGATACAAACTCACGTCATTTTACACATAAGATGATAAGATTCTGCAGCTTTTCACTCATTTCAAACTTTAATGTAACTAGAAAACAACTTTCTACAATTGTTCCAAGCCAAAAATAAACAAGAGAACATTTTTATGTTTAAGAAGCTTTAGTTTATTGTTGCAGCTCGATTCTTAAAGATGCCAAAATATCCTGACAAATATCAATTTCATGCACTGAAATTAGGGCAACTGATTATAAATGTAATTTAAAGCCTGACAAGATTATTTGATCACTGCAACAGAAACAGACAGTTGAGATTGTTTCTTCTTTTTGATGTTATTTAATATTAATTTACCAATAATTAAACATTTATGGCAGTTCTTCAAAATTAAATCTCAACAGGACAAATGTAAAAGCAGATTTTCTCATGGAACTCCGTTTAAAAGAGAAGACAATTAAAGATTTTATCCAGTTAGGAGCATTACGAAGTGATACATTCTGGTGTTTTAGATGCAAGCATGAAGTACCTGGATGAGACTTTATCCTGTGAATGTTTATGAATCATTCACACTATTGATAACAGTCTATCTGTTTTAAATTGTGCTCTATAAATAAATATGACTTGACTTGACTATTGTGATCCATTTTTCTTACGTACGTTTTTCAGCATCTTTCTTGTTCCACAATTGTTGTGATATTTTAACAAATCATAAATCAAAACGTTCAGCTTTTTCAGGTCAATCCTGCTATGACTTTAGGTTTTGGTGCAGCTTTAGCTTTAGCCTTTTCTGCCATTTTTTTTTCCTCATAGAAAATGAACTTAGCTAAATTTACATCCTTCACATCTTTAGATCTGTTTATAACCTTTTACTGCTCCTTTCACTTTTTGTTCTGGTTCAACTTCTTTGTGCAAATTTAAACATTTTTCAGCTACTTTCAGCTGTTTTGTGATCCTTCCAGATTTTTTCTGCTAACCAACAATTTTGTGCTTCTAAACTCTTTCTGCTAATTTCACCTCATGCACCTTTCAGCTTATTTCTGCAACATTCAAATTTATCTGCTATTTCAGCTAGTATTTAGCTGTTTTAGGCTAATTTTAGCCTTTTCAGCTAAGTCCAAATTTTTTTGCACTATTTCCAACTTTTTTCAACCTAATTCAGCAAAAAAAAAAGTCCTCTACATGCACTTCCTTCTGGTAATTTAAACTTCCTTCTGCCTTTTTGTCTATTTTTCAGCTGTTTGTTTTTGTTTTTTTATTTTGTTGTTGCTGCTATTTTTTAGTTTTTTTTTAAATCCAGAGAATTTCCACTTTTTTGTGCTAATTTCTGCTTCTTTCAACCTAATTTGGCAAACATGTGTTCTTTCTGCTTTCTTCTGCTAATTTAAGCTTGTTCTACCTGTTCAGTTAGCATTTTAGCATTTTCTAGCTAATTTTGGCTGTTTTCAGATAAATTCAATTTTTTGTGTGGTACTTTCTGCTTCTTTCAGCCTAATAAACTTCTTTCTGATTATTTCAGCTTGCTATACTCCTTTCAACTTGATTATGCTAGTTTCAGCTTTTTTCTGCTATTTCAGCTGTTTTTATGCTTATTTTAACCTTTTCAGTTAATTCCACATTTTTAGTTAATTTCAGCACTTTCTGCTTCCTTCTGGTAGTTTAAGCTTCTTTCAGCCTTTCAGCTACTTTTAAGCCATTTTTTGCTAATTTTAGCTTGTTTTTTTTTGTTGTTTTTTTTAGCTCATTTCCGAATTTCTGTCCTAATTTCTGCTTATTTCAACCCATTTCAACAAATATGTTCTTTCGGCTTTCTTCTGCTACTTTAGGCTAGTTCTTCATTTCGGCTACTTTTCCGCATGTTTTAAGCTAATTTCAGCTCAGCAATTTCTTCTGCAATGAGCATTCACACTGCATTTTTGCAGGAAATGCATTTTCTCTAGTTTAAAGTTACAAACGAGTGATACCTGTGTTAGGCTGGCCTTGCTGGCCTGATCGGGCTGACTCGGAGCCATCCTGGGACTGCACCTCGATCAGGTAGGAAGCTTTCTGCTCTCGGTCAAAAGAGGCCCGTGTGACGATGATGCCGCTGTGTGAGTCAATGCTGAAGTACTGAGAATCTCCGCTCTCATCCTTCAGAATCACGTAATTGATCTGAAAAGGTCAGAGTGAAGAGCTAAAGAAGACAAGAAACAAGAGGAGCTACATTTGGACCCGTTTTGATGGCAGCTGCTTCCTACCATCCCATGAAGACCGGAGTCGAGATCCGTCGCTGACACCTGAGCTACAGATGTGCCGATCTGCGCTCCCTCAGGAACTGTGGCCTCGTAGGTAGATGACAGGAAGAATGGAACATTGTCGTTGACGTCTGATTACAGAAACAAAACAATAGAGTGTGGCAATTAAAACTTTTTTTTTTAAACTAAAAGCCATAAATTTGTTGGATACGAAACCAAGAAGCTGATTGAATTGGATTCAAAACTGAAGGAAGGAACACTGAACAGAAACTAAACAACAGAAATTTAAAAAAGCACAATGTCACAAAAAGATTTTAAAATAAAGATTTTGCAACAATTTTCTCTGCAAAGAACATTAAACACGAGGAGAAGCCCAGAAAAAAAAAAAACTGTGGGGGATAAAAGTCTTTTGTCTAAAGTCCATCAAAAAGTGAAGCTGGACCGTGTCTTCTCTTGCAAATGAAAATTGAGTTATTAGCAGAGAATTATCCTCCAAACACCCTGAAGTGTCCACAAAGAGGCTTGTCAGCTCACTTTCAAGCTCGGCTAAGCCAATTAGAGCTTCCAGTGCGGGTTTGTTCAAAGCCAATCAAAGTCAGGAAGTGTTTTCTCCTCTTTACTTCCCTCCACTCGCCTTCAGATGCTGAATGAAAAATGAGCCATTGTTGAAACGAGGTGGCATGGCGCTCACACCACCAGTCAGATGTTTTTGTCTATTTTTGTTCTGGCGGGACCACCTGGACTTTAAATTAAACCTCAGTCTTCTTTGTTCTCGTTGTTTTCCAGCGCTCATTATGGATGTGTTCCTGTTACACTCAGGTGGCTTCTTTCACCTCTGCTCATCGAAGTTAAACGGTGACTTTTTACATTAAAGCTAACTTGGTCATTATTATTCTGAATTCATTGTGTGTAGTGGACATTGCCTTTAAATTCTTAATGAGCTTAAGTATTAACTAGAGAAATTGCATTTCCTGTGAAAATGCAGTGTCAGTGCTTAATGCTGAAGAACTTACTGAAAAACAGCTGACATAAGCTAAAAACATGCTGAACTGTAGTTAAAATAGAACAAAAAGCCTAAATTAGCAGAAGAAAGTATAGAATGAACATATATTTGCTGAATTATCTTTAAATAAGCAGAAATGAGCACAAAACTTGCTGAAAAAAAGCTGAAATTGACAAAAAAGTAGCTGAAAAGATTCTGAAAACTCAGAAAGAAGCTTAAACTACAAGAAGGAAGAAGAAAAAGCTGAATTTGGATAAAAATGTGAAATTAGTTGAAAAAGCTAAAATTAGCATAAAAACTGCTAAATAGAAGCTGAAATTGCAGAAATGGCTGAAACTAGCAGACAAAAGCTGAAAGGATCGTAACAAGCTGAAATGAGCATAAAGATTTTAATTAGGCTTAAAGAAGCAGAAATTACCACAAAAAGCTTGAATTTATCTGAAAACAGCTGAAATTAGCTAAAAAAAAGCTAGCTGAAAAGGTAGAACAAGCTTAAATTAACAGAAGGAAGTAGAGAGAGCACATTTTTGCCCAATAGGCTGGAAGAAGCAGGAATTAACACAAAAAGTGGATGTTATCTGAAAAAAGTTTAAATAAAAACAACAACAACAACAATTAAAAACAGCTGAAAAGAAGCTAAAAAAGCAGCAAGAAGCTTAAATGACCAGAAACAAGTCGAGAAAGCACATTTTTGCTTAATTAGGCTGAAAAAAGTTTAAATGAGTGCCAAAAATGTGGAATTAGCTGAAAAAGCTAAATTTAGCATAAAACAGCTCAATAGTAGCTGAAGTAACTGAAACTAGCATCAATAAGCCAAGAGCATAACAAGCAGAAATAAGTTAGAAGAAGCCTTAAAATGTTGTAATTAGCAGAAATGATCTGAAATAATCACAAAACAGCTGGAAAAACAGCTAAAATTAGCTGAAAAAGCTAAATTTAGCATAAAACAGCTCAATAGTAGCTGAAGTAACTGAAACTAGCATCAATAAGCCAAGAGCATAACAAGCAGAAATTAGCAGAAATAAGTTAGAAGAAGCATAAAAATGTTGTAGTTAGCAGAAATGATCTGAAATAATCACAGCCAAAATTAGCTGAAAGTAGCTGAATTTCTTTTAGATTTGCACAAGAATCTGAACCAGAACAAAATGTGAAAGGAGCAGTAAAAGGTTGTAAACAGATCTAAAGATTTTAAGGATGTAAAATGAGCTCAATTCATTTTCTATGAGAAAAACGTGGCAGAAAAGGCCAAATATTTCAAAAAGCTTAAGTTGCACCAATACCAAAAGTCATATCACCCTTCTCCTGAATGAACTGAACGTTGTGATACATGATTTGTTGAAATAGTGCAAAAATTGTGGAACGAGAAAGATGCTGGAAAACGTACAGAAGAAAAATGGATCATAATCGTACGAATGCTTCATAAACATTCACACAATTATTTCATATACTCCAAGTACATAAATGCACATTTTGCCCACTCTTACCCGTCACATTGACATAGACGGTGGTGAAGGAGGCGAGTGGCACGGCTGCAACGTTCTGTACACGCACTCTCAGCGTGAAGAAGCGCGTCGTCTCGTAGTCGAGGTTCTCAGCCACCAGGATTGACGCGGAACCGTCCGCCCGGTTTGGTTTTATGTAGAACCGCACCGGCATGTTAGTTTCTGGCACCTGACCCTCCTCCAGATTGTAAGTGACTCGTGGGTCACCAAGCGGAGACGTGGCTTTGACAGTCTGATGAAAAGGACAAAAGGGTTGGTTAGTCAAAAAAAAAAAAAAAACAAGACGCGCTTTTATTGTATGGTTCATAAGTACTTCTACTGAAATACGGCACTTCAGTACGTTCGATTTACTTGTGATACATTTTTCTCTGCAATGTGTATATCATTGATAATGTGTGATTTATGTGGTTCTGTCATCTTTGTGTTTTCCCTCCTTGTTGTTTCAGCTCCCGTCACACCTGTCTGTAGTTCAAATCACCCCAGGTGTTTGTCCTCCTGCCTCATCAGTGTCTCTATATATTCTATATATTCAGTGTCTCTGTGGTCCTTCCTGGATCTGTGGATTATGCTGTTAAATCTGTTCACGTCCTACATGTGCTCCTCTCGTCGTCCCCTCATTTCACGCGAGTTTTTGCTGCCCCGTCAGCTTTGCTGCCCCTTTTCAACATAACCGCAGAACATGATAAATAAATGTGTTGAATGACTTCACAACTGGATGGCAAGTGACTAAAAGCAAACATATTGAAGAAGACCTTTCAAACAGAAGGTCAGTGGACAAATCTGGGTTGTTTGGCTTCTCTTGTTTCTTTGCATGAATTCTTTCTTGCTGAGTAAAAACAATCAATAGGAACAAGATTTCTCTAAGTGCCTGTGATGGTCACTTCAAAATACCGTAGTTTGTTTTCCAGCATGTGCACGCAGAAAGGGACAACAGGGACAAGAGGGACTTGGGAAACAGAGCAGAATTCAAATTCAATTCAAAATACTTTTATTAATCCCAACGGGAAATTAAGTGTTATTGTAGCTCATCATCCTGGTTTCAGTCAAGAGTTGTTAGATGCTGATAGCTGTGGGCAGGAAGGATCTCCTGCAGCGAATCCGAAGAATATGGCCACAGATACCAATCAGTCCACCCGGATCCAGCTTGCTGTCAGATCCGGCAGGCCTCTCGGTCCTCCTGGGCAGCAGGACTATCTGAACGCTGGGCAAAATTCCTCCCTGAGCGATGGTCACTCCTCCCAGCAGTCTGCCGAGCTCTTTGTCGCCACAGACAGACGAAGGTGTCGGGGGATGGTCCCGGTCCTCCCGTTGTCACGAGCAGAGTTTCCCACCAGCTCCAGGATCTCGGCAGTCGGGTACTTGAGCACCGCCGCCCGGTTGACGGGAATTGGTCCACGGCGCCTCCTTTTCAATTCATTTTGCATTTGAGCTTTTGAAATATTAATCAGATGTTAATTTTATAATTAACCTAACTAATAATTATTAATTAATAATTAGAAGTTAATAATTTTACTTTTGAGATGTTAGTTAAAGAAGTACAGCAGAGAGGGAGGGAAAGGATACTGCAATATTTTAAGCAGGTCACAGGAAGTTAGATCTGCCAGTTCTGAGTCTTTGCACCCGTACTTGGATTTTATTTCTTTTTTTGTATTACATTTTTCAAATACATTGATTCATAAACTTGTTGACAGATGAAGAAAATGGTAATGGAAATCAACACAGATTATAAATGCAGAAAGAACAAATAAATAAATAAAACTATTTCCACAGCCACTGAATGGCTCCTTGCTAACATTTGTGTACTCCTTTTATGTCTCAAGTTTACGACACGGATATTTTCATTTTTCAAACACATTCTTTCCCATTATTCATCAAAGAACGAAGCCAGAGAAGACTCTCTGGTGGTTTATGATAACATAATGTTATCGCACAACAGCTGGGTGTCAGCGCCGGGGTCATTTATCTTTGAAACGGCCCTAACACCCTTCAGACCTATAAACTAAAGCACTCAGCAGAAAAGGGAACCCCTAAAATACACAACTACGTTTCAAAGAATGCAGCTTTTTAACGGTCAGAGCAGCACGTCGGTCCTTCTATGGAAACAGCACTCAGCGAGAAATCTCAACTGCTTTACAAAGACGCCAAAAAAGGTTTGAGTTTCTGCTTCATGTGTGTTTCGCTTTGCGAGATTTATTTTTCCACTTACTTTTTAAAGATAAGTGCAATGAGTGTGTGTGAGTGCTAAGGTGTCTTGACCTGGACAACAACCAACAGAAGATCCACATTTTTCTCTTAGAGGCAGATAAACTGACCTTGGTGAGACTGTCATTAATTTTGTGCTTGCTAAGACAAAATTGCACAGCTACATTAAAGAAACCTGTCTTTTTTAGTGTGGGGAATCACTGAAGACTTGTTTAAGGTCACGCTGAGGTTATGCAATTACTGGTGAGGATAAAGCAACGGGAAATTTATACACTATTGTATTGCTCTTTGAAGTGATGAAAACAGAACTGTGAGGGTGTGTGTGTGTGTGTGTGTGTGTGTGTGTGTGTGTGTGTGTGTGTGAGGAAGAGCTTTTAAAACGTTTGTCCTTCAAGACCTCAAAAGTCAAATCCATGCTTGTGGAAGGAGTGTGTTTCATGGTTGAGTGATAACAACTGACTTTACAGTAGAGGTTATGATCTGGACTGAACACGCACACACACACACACACACTCATATATTCTCTGTAATGTCAAATATTATCTTTGACGTTAACTCTATCGATACGTTTATTATCGCAGTTTGTCAAAGCGACTCAGACTTTCAGAGGTTCTTGATAAAATTTCATTTTGACCCAACTGGCCTAAGATAACTACATATTTGATTCAAAAAGATTAAAGATTGGTTCCATTTGGCTCTGACTGTAGTTCCCTTTACCTACTGCAAGTTAAACATGCACGAAAGTTGAGTTCACTGCTTTTTTCAAGTAAAAAAAAAAAAAGTCTAATTAAGTGCCATTTACAGAAGCACAGGCAAGGAGGACGTTTGTATCCATTTTAAACATACAAACTGGTTGTTGAAGGAAACCACTAAAAACAAACAACAACAAAAAAATAAAATAAAACCTTTTTTCCTCCTTGAAAAATATTTCAAAATGATTAGATTTGGATCTCATGCATGCACAGTTGTACAAGAAAAGCTTGTCAGTCACTGGTAGCAGTCTCCACACCATCCAGGACATCTACCAAAGCTGATGTCTGCGTAAAGCATGCAGCATCATTAAGGACCACACCCACCCAGCACAAGGACTCTTCCATCTACTACCCTCAGGCAGACGATACAGGAGCCTCCCATCACGCAAGAAAAGACTAAAAGACATTTATTACCCACAAGCTGTCAGATTACTGAACTCTTGATAATAACATTGCACTAAGTCACATCTGTGACACCTAATACATTCACTGCTGCTGCATCATGTGGCTGTATCATGTATGTCACTACCTTGCCATCATAATTCAATTTGTCTCAATGTTACTCACTACCTGTGCAATAACCTGTTACACAACCTGTGTATGTTAGTTATGTGCAATATATATCATGTGCATTGTGACTAAGTTACCAGCAAGCTGTGTGGTCAAGATTTGAGCAACCGATTCTTGAAAATCATGGATTTGTTTTTGTGTTCATGGCTCTTAAAATTGTATTCTTGGTTTTGCACATTGTTGTTTACCCACCTCCAACCACATCTAAGCCTGTTTTACACCCATCTTTGCAGCCAAATTGAGATGGTGGAAATTGAGAACCTCCATGAACATTTTCTTGCAAATTCTTTTTGCCAAATAGTCACAGAATATCACAGAATCAGTCACAAACCAGTGAGGTACTAGCTTAAGTGAAAAGGCTTTAAGAAAAATCTTTGGAAAACAAGACTGATGCTGAAAATCTTAAAGTTTCCAGTAGTATATGCAACACAAAACAAACAAAAAAAGAAAGCTCACTTGACAAGAAAGCAAAATTAACAAAGGTGAAAAAAAACAATGGCAGTTCATTCAATGAAAATGGAGTGAAAACAAAAACGCAAATCTAAAAATATAAAAACGGGTATAAAAAGTAAGTCGATAACCATGCATTCCACTCAGACTGCAGCTTGGCAATCTTTTGTTGTTGCCTCGTATCCCAGCATATAATGCCATTGCACATATATGTGCACAATGTGTTCAACATAATGGTACTTCCTACAGTTATTTAACGGTCAACAATGGTGTACCACAAGGCTCAGTCTTAGGACGCACCCTCTTTACAATTTATATAGGTAATTTAGGTCAGAGCATCCCTGATGCATCCTTACATCTCTATGCTGATGACACAGTTGTTTAGTGTCAAGCTAAAACAGTTGCTAAGGTTTTCCAGCTTTTGCAATCTGCTTTTGACATCATCCAGTCAGATTTGTTCCATCTCAAACTTGTCCTAAACACCAACAAAACCAAAGGGATGCTGTTTTCAAACAGGAAGTTGGTCCCAGCAGTTCTTCTCTCTTGATTTTAACCTCGAATGGTCCCCCTATTGATTTTGTCAATTCCTACAAATATTTGGGTATCTTGATCTCCCTTTTAAGTTCCAAGTGGAAAAATTGGTAAAGAAACTGAAAGTTAAATTGGGTTTCTTTTCCAGAAATAGATCCTGTTTAACTCTGAATGCTAGGATATGCCTTGTGACTGCAACATTCCTTCCCTCCATTGACTACGGTGACATCATTTACATGAACGCCTCTACAAGCACACTGCAGATGTTGGATGCTGTCTATCATGGTGAGCTAAGATTCATAACTGGCTGTAACAATCATATCCACCATTGCACCCTGTATTCACTGGTTAACTGGACACCATTAACTTCACTGGTTAACTGGACATCATTAACTTCACACAGACTCTCTCATTGGTACATTTTCATCTTTAAATCACTTTTTGGTCTGTTGCCTTCATACATCTTTTACATGTCACTGCATGAGTACAGCTACAATGTCAGGACATTATTACCTGCAGTGTCCCCTCAGTGAGGACTGAACTAGGCAAAAGGGCCTTCTCTTACTCTGCTTCCATTTCCTGTAATAGCTTGCAAAAAGATCTGAAGCTCTCGACTTTGATCTCTATAAGTGGCTTCAAACATCTGTTAAGTTCCTTTCGAAAACCAATGCAAACATATTCCTGTTTTTAGTTTTCTACACCGCCTTACAACCTAGCTGTTTTTGTT